GTGTGCGACGAAGGAGACCAGACATGTGGAAGAATGCCTCATGGGTTCTTCATCACGACAACGCGCCAGCACACAACGCGCTATCTGTGAAGAGGTATTTGGCAAAAAACAACATTCCAGTGATGGAACATCCACCGTATTCTCCGGACCTAGCACCGTGCGACTTTTTTCTCTTCCCAAAAATCAAGTCTGCGCTGAAAGGGACCAGGTTCGAGTCCGTGGATGCAGTGAAAGCAAAAGCGACGCAACTCTTGAAGAGCATAACACAAGATGACCTGCAGCACTGCTTCCAACAGTGGAAAATTCGCATGGAGCGGTGTAGGGATCGGGGAGGGGACTACATTGAAGGGGATAACATTTCGACTGTCTGATTTTTTTTTAATAAAGGGTTAGAGCATGAATCCGGTTTCTTTATTGCCACACCTTGTACATCAAAGAAGATCTGAGATTAAGAGCTCTAACCATACTGCAAGACAAGGGACTGCTGCCATTTAAATATAGCCAGAAGGGCTGGCAGGGCCCCATTTAAATAAATCTTGAAGGGGCTAAGCTGTACATGTGACTACACAGTATTTTTTGGTAAGTAATAACAGAGGCTTATACATGGAGTACAGAGCTGTAGATACTATGTTCCTATATTGTGTTAACAGTCTCATCCTCCACAGATTTCATATTTTCATTGTAGCTGATCTGATTGTGTCTTGTGTCTGCTGAATTGAAGGTGGCAATAAACGGTGTTTTCCTCCTTAGGTACGAGGAGTGTCTGTCAATCAATTCCGGATGACTGATCTTCACAAATTTACACATTATGATGTCACTGTAGCAGCATTTAATGGTGTGGGGATTGGACCCCAGTCAGCTGTTGTTACAGCAGCAACACAGGAAGGAGGTATGAATGGCCTACAGTCATATGCAGAGTAAGAAAATGATATCTAGAAGATGCATATTTTGAGAGGTTAAGAGAATGAACACATAATTTGTGAAACGTGTCATTAGTATTTATGTATCATGTTCAATGACTGCAACTGGTACAGTTCAGTGTGTAATGTAACGTGTATAGCTAAGCAACGCCTCAGTAAACACATTTCCTAGGTTACGCAGGCCACAGAGGGACCCACTGCTAGGTAGTGTTTGGCTAAATGCATTCCAATGCCAATGCATAGCTCTGAACATGCATCTCTGTGACAGGAATTCACTAAGCAGAATCTGTTACCATGGGAATTATGAAGTTATAAAAACACAGTAACAGAATGGTAAAACAGGGTGATATCTATTCGGTTCTCCTGAGGCTATGAGGGGAGGAGAGAACAGACCAGACGGCAAGTGTTCAGTTGTTCTGGTTGTGGGTCTCCAGGTGCTTGTTGCCAAGACAAACTGATTGGCGGTAAACGGTCAGTCGTAAAGTAATTCTGACAGAACACACACAGACACTCAGAGCAGACTGAGCAACAGGGAGAACAGCTTGCAGTCGAAGAGAACTCAACAGGCAGACACTGAAGACTTTATTTTGTGTGGTGCAGTTACAGTAACCTTTAGAGTATTATCATTGTAGTTATGAAATGATATAGTAAGATTGAGAGTGTTACAGCCGATTGTAGTGCTGACTTGCTGGAAATATCCAATAAATTGACTCACCAATCCAAACCTGCATCTTTAGTCACTATTACACATGGCACTATGATGAGCAGACAACTGAAATGACTGCAGTCAGTTTCTTTTGCAGGGGCAGAGGTTATCCTCATCAGAAATTCATTTACACCCATCAAACCTCCTATCCAATGAGCGCTGAAATCTCTTTGTTAGATTAAAGGCAGCGAGAGAGTGAAACTCACCATGGTCTTCCTCTAATGGCAAGATTAAGAATGCAGGGAGCAATATTCTACCATATGACTTCATGTAGTGGTGTTTAATCAGAAAGATTTTCATATTCACAGTGAAGTAAGGTAATTCCTCTTAAAGGTGATTGAAAGTTGTTATTGGGCACTGGCATCATGAGTTAAAATCTCACCAGGGGCATGGATGTGTGTTCATATTATTGTATGTTAATTTCTTCCGTAGGTTTAGTAATCTTTCCCTGGGCTGATACTTCATATAAGTTATACCAGATGTTGAAGGGATTTACATTTTTAGAATTAATTAAGAATTGGAATAGATCTCAAGGCCTAATGTGTGAAAGATGAAGAAGAGTTATTGTACATATCTGTAGAAGGTACTTACATTGTTCACATCTCTGTGAATAATTCCAGAAAATACTGAACACTACACATATCTGTGCAAATAATTCCAGACAACACTTAAGGTCATGGGCTCAATTCCTGATTATGTCATTAGATTTTTTAATTTACCTAACCCTTCAAATCATACTATGGTCCTGGGGTCGACTCATCCTCAAACAGAAATGAGTACCAGGAATCTTTCTGGGGTAAAGGGCAGCTGGCTCGTAGGGCTGACAGCCTCACCACCATCTGTGAGCTGATTTTGTAGAAAATGTGGGAGCCTCAACGTTTCACAACCCTATGGGCCTCCATGGCCTGTTACAGGGATAGATTTGCCTTTTTTAACTGAACATTGTTCATATCTGTGTGAATAATTCCAGAAGATATGTAACATTGTTTGTGTCTGTGTGAACAGTTCCAGAAGCAGCACCCCAGAATGTAGCCTGTTCTCCACTCTCATCACAAAGTGTCAAGGTAAGCTGGTCTCCACCACCTGCAAATCAGCATGGGGGTGTGCTACAAGGCTACAAAGTTATCTACAGACCTGTTCTAAAGGATAACGGTAAGCAGGACTTTCTTAAGTTTACTTTTTATTGCTATTTCACATGTCAAATATTAAAAGAAAATTAATTCTGTACTTTCTGTATCTTATGATTAGTAAATAAACAAAAATTGCATTTTCATGAAAAATTTATTTACCATGTTTACAGGTTATGAACTGCCAGTTATCTTTCATTGGTTATGAGTTGCACATGTAAGAGCATGTGTGTACACTCAGGAATAGGAGTGAAGATTCATTTCTGAATGTTTCTGATTATGATTCTCCATGGTTGGTTTTTTCTTTTTACCGTAGAAGTTATGGGGCATGTAGCCAAGTTTATAATGAAACACCTTGTTTCAGATATTGCTTTTATTTAAATTTTCAGACAGAAGGTCTATCTAATTTGATGGGTCAATTGGTATAATAAGACGAGAACATTATGACGGTGCTGTATGAGTAAAATGATTGAATTTTTGGACATTATCCATCATCCCATGTTTTAGACTTGACATTATGCATGGTCATAGGTGAAAGGTCTCATACATGTGATATTTTAAAATTTCTGTCTTAACGCCTGCAGATAGTTTATGTTGTGTTTGGTTTATATATCCTGCCTTGTGTTGGTCCTGTTGTCTGGACACAGACTAGCTCTTTTGATACATTTGAACCGAGTAGACTTTTTACCTGTCCAGTTTGCAAAACGTTTATTTAAATAAAAATAGGACAATGGATAATGTCCTAAAAATAAAAAACTGTGTCATTTGGAATGTGATATTGCAGTCACTTGTCCAGTGCTGTTCTCAATTTCCAAGTGAATATGAGGAGTTGGTACTAGTGGAGCCATCAGATCAACCTCTTGGTATTAGCTTACAGAACAGTTCCATATAATGCTTGGATGCACTGAGGACTGCTTATAAAATTATTCCATCTTCTTACTTAATACGTAATTTTAGCTTTTCTTTGGAGGTGGCATTTATATTTGTTTTTATCAGCATCTTAAATTGCCACAGTAACACTTTTGTTCAATACTAATATCTGTGGTGCATCTTAGTGGCAGTGAAATATTATTTCTTTCCTCATGTGTTGAATATGTTTCCAGAATCAATCCTAGTCCCAGTGTATTTTCCTTCACCTCAAAACCTCAACACTGATAGTTAAGCCTTTTGCTTGAAGATGGAAGTAAAAGCAGCATCTGAAATGTATTTTTTTTTATAAACCTAAATGATATACATGTTAGTAAACTGACTAGAAGTGTAGTTGTATTGAAAATGTATTGTACTTTTGTTGTGCAGTTATCCATGTTGCCAGCAGTGAGGTGAAACGAACTTCCAGTGTGGAAACATACCTTCATGGTCTCTTGAAGTTCACAAATTACTCAGTCCGTCTCCTTGCCTACACTAGTGTTGGAGATGGTGTTGTAAGTGATCCAGCCTATTGTTCTACTGAACAGGATGGTAAGTTTAACTTCTGTAAGAGCGTTCTATAGATTCTTCCTTGGGATGTCAGTAGTTACTTGTTTGATGGAGGAATTCCTTGCTCTTGTTGAACTCAAAGGTTTATTACAATTTTCTCAAAACCACACTATTAGACACTATATTGAGCTGTTTGAAAATGTTCCATACTTTTACACTCTCTTTCTGTAAGATTCATTGTAATACTGTCCTCCAGTTTATGCATAAGTCCCCCAGATGCTCTCTTTCCCTGAGGCTTTCCAGTAGATCTTCTATTTATTCTGATTTCATCCATCTGATCTCTCTGCATGTAATTATCCTGAGGGTTGCTTCATTAAAATCTTAAAATAAAACTACTTTACTACTTTAACCTGATTGTTTGTGACTCAAACTTCTACAAGAAAAAAAAACACAAGCCATATGTAGTTGAAGTTTTCTTATTGGCTCAGTTTTGAGTAATATAACATTTAATTTCATAAATTATTTCTTCGAGAAAGAAAGCAGAAACTCTGGTTTGTATTTTATTTTGTATTATAAGTTCAGTCTTGTACAGTGCCAAGTTCTGTTTCCAGGAATAGTTCTATGGAATGCAAAAAAATAATCTAAGTTATATAAAATTAAAGTGTTGCTTTATAAATTCAATCTTGTACAGTGCTTACAATGTTTGGTGTGCATAGTTTTGTTAGAAGGTAAGAAAAAAGCTATCCCTATAACAGGCTGTGGAGGCCCATATGGTTGTGGGATGTTGAGGCTCCTACATTTTCCAGACAGTATGCTCACAGATGGCAGTGAGTTTGTCAGCCATATTGCAGCTGGAAGGATCAGGTTAATTGAAGAATCCAGTGATCTCATTAGGAATTGATCCCCACAACCTTCTCAGTTGTAGCATAGTGCCTCAACCAACTATGCTAAATTTTTTTTAGAACACAGTTTGTATAGATCATAAATTAAATACCTAAGTTACATAGAATTAAAATTTTGTTTTATAATTTCAATTTTGTACAATATAAGTTTCTGTTTGCATTTTAGTCATTCTTATAGAACACAAATCAAGAACATAGTAAGCTTTGTTTTATAGATTCATCCTTGTACATTTTTAAGATTTTGTTTTGCGAGCTTACATTAAATTGAAGTTTTGTTCCCTAACCTCAATTTCCTGCAACATGAAATGTAAGTCTACCTGCCAAAAAAATCCAGCATTTAGCATCATGGTTTAGATTAACCCCATTATACAGGAACCATTCCAAGCACTTATTTAACCTGTCATTATTTTTGTGTAGTTCCTGGTCCACCAGCTGGGTTGAAGGCTTTGGCACTCACTGGAGACTCCATATTGGTGTCATGGCTTCCACCAGACCAGCCAAATGGAATTATTGTCCAGTACACAGTCTATGTTGTTGAAAGAGGTCAGGTTAAGGTATATAAACAAAACAAATCTGTAGAAGGTATTGAAGTTTAGATATAACTATATGTTATTTGGCCATAACCTCTGCTGGAGGTCACTCTAAATAAGTTCCAGGTACATTCCTGCAAGTTAATAATAAAACTGCTTTATGTTCAGAACTTTGGCTTATTAATATATTCATTTGTGTGTTTGGAAATTGCTGACGTTACACAAGGTTTAGGATTTGTTCTTATAGGTAATTTCACAGCGAGTAATTTGCTCCTTAATGTGGCTAATGGAGAATAGTTTTAGACATCATGAAATGATCTCTCTGATATACCAGTACCTGTATGCAAATATAATTAAATATGCAGTTGAAAGACTTCCTTCTTTGTCATATATGGACAGAGCATGTGAGTTCTTTTATGAATTAAGGCTGGATGTAAGAATACAGGTAGTAATTGATCGTTGTTTGTAACTTTGTCATTTGAAGAAATCATGTGCAGAAGATATATAGAGAACTGTCATGAGAATTACTTTCAGACACATCAAAGAGGCAAAACTTGTGCAAAATAAGTAAAAAAGAAAGAACATTTACAAGAGAAAAGTCTCACAAATTCAGACATAATTTTTTATAAAGACGTACAGATTTTCATAACTTTATCCCCCATTGTCATCGTTTGTGAGCCTTAATTTTTCTTTCTTAGTTTATATGAAAGATCTTAATCATTCTTAATGGATCCATGATAGTTCTTTCAGATTAGTGACTAGGATACTGCCTAGAGAGTCAATTAAGGTTCAGTTCCTATCCAATGGAAAATGTGGGAACCCCCACATACTAACACACAGCTTCATCTGTCTAACAGACAGCATTCAACTTCTGCTCAAGCCAAGTCAATGTCACATTGTGGCCAGCACTCGATGTACATCCCACAATGGTAAAATGACCAGAGTGTCAAGCTGACCACACTTTCACCTTGTGCCAAAGTTAAGAATGGATGAATCTATACTTCAGCTCACCCATAAATCTTCATGGAGTTATGCCTAATTAATACTTCTTAAGAGGAAAGAACATTATTCAGTTTTGGTATTAATATTAATTCATAAAATATTGTATATTTATATGCTGTTTTAATATCAATCCTATTTATATTTTATATATATATATATATANTTTTACATTGCAATATTGTGACAGTGCATTCTGGATCATCCACCTGGCTGAGGTTGCATTTCTTCAGTATTATTACATTGCTACTAAGTTAAAATCTAGACCCCCGTCCCATAATCATGACAGGTATAGTAACATCTGTTCCTGGACAGTAAAGGATAACAATCTCATATACATCTCGTGTTTCATCCAGCGCTCTAGCTTTCCAGTACGTGTGGCACCAAGTTCTGACACAGACTTTGAGGTCCGTAGTCTCGTGGAGCTCCAGCACTATGAGTTCTGGGTGACAGCATCAACCATTGTAGGAGAAGGGGAGGGAACTCGTCCGGTTCATCAAGCTCCCAATTCCAGAGGTAAGGCACTGGTATAGTGTTATCACATTCTATAGATGATAATCTATATAAATTATATATTGTTAAGTACTCATAACTTTCTGGTGGCACGTGGTAGTGTAGTAAGTTGAGGCACTGTTCTATAAGCTGAAAGTTCATGGTTTCAGTTCCTGATGAGGTCACTGGAATTTTAATTTGACCTAATCCTTGCAGCCGCACTATGGCCCTGGAATTGACTCAGCCTCGAACAGAAATGAGTACAAGGAATCTTCCCAGGGGGTAATGGGTGGGCAGTTTGTAAGGCTGACAACCTCACTGCTATCTCAGAGCCAGTTGTATAGAAAGTATGGGAACTTTGATGTCTCACAACCCTATGGGCCTCCACAGCCTGGAGCTAGACTGTGCTGCTACCTAGTGATACACATAGAAAGCCTATCATGTTCATTACAGCTGTTTCACTTCCATTTATGAACTATTTACTGACTCTCCCTTTTATATATGATACTGAATGTAATTTTATTATTAAATCAGTTGAACTCTAAATGAAGGTGACAAGTCTCAGTCTTTATGATGAATAGACTACACATTGAATGGCTGGAGGATCATGGTTCAGTTCTCATCCAGGATAGACATTTTGTCTGTTCACCTGTCTCTCCAGAATTGCTCTGCAACCTACTCAGTCCCCTCTCAAATGGGTACTGGGGGCTATGTCCCACAGTAGAGCAGCTGGGATGTAAGGCTGACCACTCATGTCTATCTAATATTAGGGTTAAGAATGCATGGAGCTCTGCCTGCACTCCCTCTTGTGCCTTCACGGCATGCTGCTTAATTAAGCAGAGGGATCATTTTTCTTTACTTATAAGTATCTTGAAGACATGCCTTATGGGATATAATGCTTTGTAGTCTATAGAAAGTCAAAGCACAGTCCGTTATCTTCATACTGGTTCTTATTTTCTGACCCTGAAGATGGAGGTGATATGTTCCTCCCTAATATGTCTTGACTTTTAAAGGGGCTAGACGGTGTTATATCCCAGAAGATATTCACCACTGTGAGAAGTTCAGATCCTTTAAGTAACTTCCTCTTTCTTCGCAGCTCCAGCACGAATAGCATCATTCTCGCAGACTCTGCGTCGTGCAGACAAATCTAATGTGATACTTCAGTGCAAATGTGTTGGTCTGCCAATACCAACCATCACCTGGAGACGAGCCACAGAGATAATTCATGGTGAACCTGGTTCAAACCATGAATTGTCCCAGGAAGGGACACTAAGCATTCATCGTAAGTGCACTTTCTGTATGTGCAAGCAGGAACTTTTATATATACTAATATTTTGTAAGCTTTAGACTTAGCCCTGTAGTTATACAATTTTGGGTTACTATAGGAATTAATTATTGAGTATGAACATGTTGCATGAACAGAATATATATATGTAGGTTTTGAGGTTCTTGCAACAGTGGTTATTGAGAGTTCTGTCTTCTGAGATGCAATGCCATGCAGTTCACTGAAGATTAACCAACGTATTGAAGGAACTTGTCACCTCCATCTTCATGGTCAAGGAACATGACAAATAAGAAATCAGCATGAAGGAGGTATCAGCTGGAGCTTCACTTGTCTTGAGTTATGTGCCTACTTGGCTTATTCTTTGACCCTGTAGATAAAAGCAGCAAGAAACGTCAGTTGACTTTCACTGGATGACACAACATTATATCAGAGAAAATAGAACTCTTTGTAAGTTATGCAGCAGTTCATGAGCAGTCTGTGGTTTCAGTGTTTCACATCTATTCTGTGAGTGTCGATAATATTTTGATGTAGTTTATGGAGTCAAATATACTATATAAAGAGATAGTTTATGATTCTTGTTTTTCTTGGTACATGGTGTTAAGTTTTTACCTGATTGTATCATTCGATGACACCTAGGACCAGGATGGAATAGGGGAGAAAGAAGGGTAAGCTAATAGTATGAAAACTTATGCAGCAGATGATAAGACTTCCCATTGAATTATCAGTGTGTTTCACTGGTTCAGTGAATTAAAGAGTGTCTCTTTTCTTGGGGTGGTGTGAGACTGAGTCCGTTTGGTACATCAGCCACTAATTTGGTTGCTGGGCCAGCCCTGGATGATAGATGATGATGATGAATGTGGAACAGTCGGTGGAATGAGAATTGGCAGGGGAACTGAAGTACTTGAAGAAAACCTGTCTCAGTGCCTCTTTGTCCACCACAGAATCCACATGACCTGACCTGGGCTCGAACCTGGTGCGCCATGGTGGAAAGCCAGCAGCTAACTACCTGAGCAATGGAGTGCTTCTAAATTAAGGAGTCAGTGCTTTGTCGTCATGTTTATTCTCGTGACCTACGGCTAGTTACTATATTTCAGTGTTTTGATTTTGCACTAAATCCAGATGAAGACATGGTTGCAGTGTACTCTTCTCTGTCAAGTGCTTGCCCTTTCTGTAGGTAACCTTGATCTGAAGGCAGAAGGAGATTCAGCTTTTGAAACGTTTTTTTCTAGTTTGTAGAATGTGAGAGAGTGGACAGAGTTCAGGAAACTACTAATAATGTTTCATGTAAATCCGTGGATAGACTTGGATAAATCGAGAGAAGGAAACTACACATGCATGGCCAAGAACTTGTGGGGAGAAGATCAGGTGACATATCAGGTGTTGGTGCTAATGGCACCAGATGCCCCAACTCTTGAGCTCCTACACACAACCAGTCGTACCATTCACCTGCGATGGAGGGCTACTGATGATGGTGGTGCACCCATACAGGGTAAGCTAAATGACATTGATCGTTAATGCAGTCATGTGTAATATTCTGTATTGTTCTTTGATGTCAGAATGTTATTAATACTTTGATACTGAATTAAATAGCAACACATGATTGTGAAGCTATAGGACATTTTTGTTGACCCTTCCATTTCTTGTTCACATAAATGTCAAGTATTTTATTATTTTGTAACATCCCGCTGCACTTTTTCACTTAATACCAATTAGTTTTTTATAGTGTCATATGCAACGCTGTGTCATATAAGATTTATTAAAAGATATTCACTTTAAAACAGTTTATCACATGTTTTGACCAGTGTGGTCATCATCAGGTGTTAATATTATTGGATGACTAAACTGCTGTCTTCTGTTTCATTGTTGACATTGCTGATATACATAAGTCCCCTCGATGCACATGTGTGTTTGAGTTGGTGGGCTGTGTTCTCTCCTGTTGTGTGTTGTGCTGTGTGTCTTATTTTTGAATACATAAGCACTGAAACAGAAGACAGCAGTTTCCTCATCCAATAATTTTAACGCCTGATGATGACCACATTGGTTGAATCATATAGTGATATGTTTTTAAAGTGAATATTTTTGAATAAATTGTATAGAACATAGTGTTGCACATGATGCTGTAAATAAACTACTTGATTCTAGAACATAAGTATTCGTTCGAGAGGTACAAACTAAAAATCCCTTCAAAGAATGTGAGACACACAACTTATATATCAAAATTATAATCTCCTTATGCAGAATGCTCCATTCAGAATGTAGCATAATGTTCCATTAATCTGTGTCACTATGAGACGTTCTGTTCAGATTCTAGAGCATTGAGGTTTTGGAAGGCAAATGGGATGATGAACATGCCCCAAATATCAGTTGAGACAGTTGTTGCATAGCCTTGCAATGAATTTCCATACTTAGGTTACACTTTTGACACAGGTTATGTACTCAGTTACAAGAGGGACCATGGCAACTGGCAAGAGGTCCAGTTGGATGCTGACAGAACATCTCATGTTCTGCAATCGTTGCACTGTGGAGCTACCTATCACGCCTATCTCACAGCTCACAATAAAGTGGGCAACAGTCGCACAAGTACTATTGTTACTGCTGTCACCAAGGGAGGAGGTAAGTTGGGACTTTACGTAAACCTTGCAACTATTAGATCATCTGAAGAGAGTCGTCTTCTGGGTTTAGGCACCGTGTATTCTTCGTGTTGGCCGACGTTTCGGAGGAACATAGCGCCTCCATCTTCAGAGCAGTTGAATGGCTTGGAATGCGGAGAGCAGTAGCTGCTGTTCTCCGCATTCCAAGCCATTCAACTGCTCTGAAGATGGAGGCGCTATGTTCCTCCGAAACGTCGGCCAACACGAAGAATACGTGGTGCCTAAACCCAGAAGACGACTCTCTTCATTGTCATCGCCGTGAAAACCTCAAAACATACATATTAGATCATCTGTTTTCACTGTTGGTTTTCTGTGATTGTGTGAAGATATCACGGCATGTCTGCTGAAAGACAGAATTGTGAAGCCAGCAGAAACAGCTGTTACTAGGGAACGGCTCTACAAACACATCTGCAGTGATGTCAAGCAGCAATAGGAAAACTGTTTTTGATTGTGTTTTCTATGCAGTCTGTGCCTAGGTGGTGTAACAAAGACCAGTTGACAAATACTGACACTGACAAATGAGAGACCCGACCTCTTGTCAGAGAAGGCACCCCAAATGGACAGGACAGTAACTTTCATATAAGGAAAAAAAAAAAAATCTGGTCATGAGCCCCAGTTGGGGCTTGACACCAAGACAGACAGACTGACTGACTGTCAGTTGCAATGTGACTTGAACTTGGACTTGGAGTCTTCAGACTAGAGAAGTCAGAAGAGTAGGAAGTTGGTGTGAGGTGGCCGCCAGCCTATCAAGACATGAACCTGGGAACAGGGGAACGTCAACTGTTAGAAGACGTTACCAAGCAGCACAGTGAAGACTGTGACAGAGAGTGACCTGTGAAGTGTAGTCAGGAGCTGTATAGTGTGTAACCTATCACTATACATACTGACCTATCCTTCTCTGTCATTTAAAATAATTACATTAAAATTAAAATTAGGAAGTGTAAGGTAATGTGATGAATGTGAACAACAAATATTATAATAAAGTTCATGCGCAACCCTGATGGATGCATGGCAACAGTCCCATATAGCCCTATAATACCATGGTATGTAGACCTGTTGCTAGGTAACGATCATGAAATAAGTAACTGTACAACAGCTGTTGCTCAGTAATGGCTCTGCAAACAAGCATGTTTCCACAAATGCAACCATTTCTTAGCAACAATTTGATGCAACAATAATGAGATGTGGTGTTTTCTATGCCGTCCATGCTGAGATTTTATAAGCAGGACAAGTTTAGGAACGGTCAGTTGAGAGTTGCTGTAGCTGAGGCACGGGGACAGTTTGGGGACTCAGAAGAAAGGGAATGTCCACCATTGTTAGCCATTACCAGAAAGCTGATGAAGACACCGCAGGCTGAGAAGACTTAAGTGTATGCTGTAGTGAACTGTAAAGTGTGTGAATTAGTGAAATGGTTATAATTTCTTATAGTTACAGATCTAAATCCAGTCTCCAATCCAGACCCCATATAGTCACCCATACACGTGACAGCTGACGCCAGAATTATGATCCCCTTGTAATGTTTCTTCAGGTAGCAACAAAACAGTAAACTGATGAAAATCTTAACTGGAGATAGTTTAACACTGAGATTTTTAATTTGGAGTGCCTGAAATTGAACGTTAAAGAACAAAAACCTTAAATCAAGGAAATTTAATAGGGGATTGCAGTATACATATTACTGCAACATGATGCAAAAACACAGTATTTCATAATACAGTAGTTATTATATAACCAGCCCATAGTCTAGCTCAGTTGTAATATGTAGATCCAATGTTTTCAGTTCCACTACTCCCGGGCTCTAGTGAGATATTTTCGGCAAACACGACATCATTCACACTACATCTGTCTTCATGGCCAGATGGAGGGTGTCCCATTGTCTACTTTGTGGTTGAATACCGGTTCCTGAGCAACAGCAATCAAAACTGGTTACTTGTGGACAATAATGCCCCAGCAGAACAATTAACCATCAAAGATCTCCAACCTGCAACATGGTACCAGCTTCGCATCACCGCACACAATGATGCTGGTTCTACAAGGGCCCATTTCAGCTTTGCCACTACTACTATCACCGGAGGTATTATTTTATTATTTTGGGGATAAGGTACAATTATATTTCTTCATATTAAGGACAAAAAATGGACCCATATTAATGAGCCATAGATGACATAAAAGAATGGAGCTTAGTTGGAATGATAACTGGCAGGGAATCCTGTGTTACACATGGCAGAGGATTAAATAAGTCACAGTTACTTCTGTGGCCTTTCAATATCACAGTTCACTATCATAATCCATCCAGTAATGCTTAATCTACGCATTTGAGGAAATGCCATTAAATAAACTCGTAAAATGTGAGATTTGAGGTTCTCACATTGGTAATATAAAGGTTATGGGACAGACACCATGTCATTTGGTAGATGGGCGCTAACATTTCAGGAGAAATTTATGGATCCACCTGAAATTTACCTTGAAGATGGAGGTAGCAGATTCCTTTGAAACATTTGTACCTATCTACCAGACTACATGCATCACATTCAAGAAGACTGTATTGCTCTGTATTACAGTCCCTCATTTGAAGATGATACCTACTGAAGTTTGTCTGTTTTCTGTATTATACTAGTTTCTTCTTTTCCTGCTTGGTTCAGTATTCTAAGTACTTGGCCTTCAGATACTTTCGTTCTACATCTTCCTTAAGGATGGCAATTAAATATTAATTTTTAATTCTTAGAAATGAGATGATGTAAAATGCTGATGGTGAAAAATTGAAACACATAGGCAGCTGTGCGATATAAAATTATTGGCTTTGTTTGCAGCGACCATCCTGCCACCACAAGACTTACAGGATCCATCAACTGGTGCACAGTTCTATCGGGATGTGTATGTGATGGTGCCCATGGTGTGTGCTGCTATCGTGCTTCTGTCTGCGTCACTACTGGGGTACATTGCTCTGCGCAGGAGGTAAGAAGCAGAGAGAAATTTTACCCAACACTTAAACATGTTATGTCTAATTAGTTTGTATAATTAACCATTTGACTGGAGGGCCCAACCCTTGAACAGTCTGCTAGAAAAACCAATGCTGCCTGGGGAAAGTGTAGTTGCACAGAAATATCCACAATATTTCTTTAGAGTACCTACAAATGATCACAGGTGTAGATAGTTCTGTATTATATGGTGAAACCACCATCTAACATTTCTTTTGGAAGCAACAAATTTGAACACTAAGTTGAGGAAAATTTTCAATTGAGGAAATTTTGCATTAACGTTATTTACTTTGATCATTGAATGTTAAATAAGAAAGAATATTAAATGGGGGTTTCACTATATATGAAAATAATTTCGGTGTGTTGGTGTATTTGAATCAGTAACATGTTAGCTGCTGTCATAGCTCCAGACTTCAAGTTTCTTAACTCAATCTTCAAAATATTTCATCTTATCTCCAATAAATTTCCACCAAAGTTCCCCACTAATAAAGCCAGAAGTCTGATTTCTTACAACAACCAAATACGGCAGATTAATAATGGCTTACTTTCATTCGCTAGTATCTGATAAAAATTAGAGTATTGGTGAAAGTTATACACTACATATTTTGACTCAGAATGTCATTGATACATGCAGTGAACTACAAAGAAACATGTTAAGTTGGTCCTGCAGTCATATTTCTTCTTCTCACCCATTGGATCCTTGACTGTGGAAACTTCCCAGGGTCCTCATTAAGTACAAAGCACCTGATTGGCTGTTACAGTATCAGACAATAATTGAGCAAGTGGTAGAACATGGCTTTTTCAAAAGTGTTCTCCAGATCCCAAGGCAAAGCAATGTCATGAAAATTCTGGAAGCTGCTCCCAGTCTCTCCAAGCAAATGCTGGGATAGTACCTTAAATCAGGCCTTAACCACTTCCTTCCACATCCATATCAATTCATTATTCACTTTCCAATCATTTGACACTTCATAATCTGAAGTACTGATATAGTTGTGAAGCACAAATACAGATAAATAAACAAAGGCAGAATAATAGCAAATGTTACTCTGTTACAGCAACCTTTGTATAATACAAGGGTTGTTCAAATTGAACCCATCTGAGGATTGTGCTGGTTAATGGAATATAGGCTCTTAATTATTGTTACCATGGGTGTTGAGACAGCAGCTGATGGATCCTGTCTGCAAAGAAATTCCTGGGCTGCTGCTGTAACCACTGCATCATCACAGTACTGACATCTTTGTCATCTCAAATCTCTGGTCCTTCAGCTCTTCCTTGAGGAGACCAAAAATGGTCTAATAGGTTTCATTCAAACAACACTCATGGCATCTACACAATCTGAAAGCATGTCACATCCAGAGGAAGTTATAAAATACGTGAACATAATGTGAACTGTTTGGCAATGTTAGTGTGAACATCACATCTGTGGTGAATGCTCTTTTATGTCCTTGTTGTCTTGGATATTGAAGGAGAAGTGTAAATATGATGCAGGACAACCATGAGGAGAGAGGGTTACAGCAAACCGGGACGCAACTTGCCTGAAAGCCACAGTGCGTGCAGCAGTTCTGCTGAAATGGATAACAAACGCAACTGTCAGCAAGTTTATTCATCGTCCCCTGTGAAACCAGAGGGGCATCATCACCACCATAACATGAAACATATTGAGACAGCATCAGGTTAGTGACTGAAGCATTGTCAGACATTCTTTTTAATCTTGATTGTCCCCAGCATTTCTGGGGTTCAGGTTCCATTCCTCTTAAGTGAGGCCTGGAGCATCAGGTTCCACCCTCTCATGTGCAATATGTCTTTCTATAAAACTTACTAAAAGTTTTACACATCACATAACTTAAAAAGTTTTTCACTACATATTTTGACCAATATGGTTATCATTAGGTATTTAAAATTGTGGTTGAGGAAACTGCTGAGAATCAAACCCATGACCTTCAAGCTTGTGTCACTGTCTCAACCAACTACACTACCGTGTGGCCCCTAGAAACATGACAATTGTATCATATTCCATCGTGACAAAATTTTAGGTCATAATGTTGTTGGTTTACTTATACTATATCATATTTAGCACATACTGTACATCACATTTACACTCAATTCAATTGTTATTCAGTAAATAAAAGATCCTAAAACTCCGGTAGCTATGTAGAAATTGTATAGGTAAAGGGGGTATTTGTATGGAGCAGCATTCTGCATCATATGATGACAGTTTTCTCAGCGTAACCCTATGTGACATAGTAAAATGTTTTCTCCCATACTTGACATACAAAAATGTATATTTTGTAATGGGTATGTAACATTCATTGCCAGTCCTGTCATCTGTGGGGTTGAATTTACTGCTTCCCATTGTTGATTTCAGTAAGTGATGGACTTTTGCCACTCTGTAGCCTTTAGTCCGCAGGCGACCGCCACTTGTCAGTGAAGTTAGTGCCAACTTTGGCAGATAGAGGGTGTTGCGTGGTCAGTGCAATGGATCCCCACAGCCATTAATCTTGGTTTGCTAGACCGGAGCTGTTATTTCCTTGAAATAGCTCCTCAATTATCCTCACGAGGCTGAGTGAACCCCATTCCAGACCCACTAATTCTCAGAAAATCTGGTAACACCGGGAATCGAACCCAGACCTCTAGATCTGTAGGCAGGAACTCTGACCGCTAGACCACAGAGGGCTTTTGCCACTGTGATCATAAATGTCATTTTCCTCTATAGATGTCACAAAAATGTAAATACACTTCAAGTGCAGCTCATCAGCGCTTGAAGGAGTTGAAACATGCTGTGATTATACATTGTTTTGCAGTTGTCATGTTTCATTTTGAACATACGAAGTTAGAAATCAAGTTTCTGTGAACAAAAAGGATAATTTGGCATGAATTACTACATGTTTGGAATGAGGAGATTACTGTGACCAGTTAAAGATGTAATTAATTGATCTGCGCATGTAACTACTGTGCGAGATAAGCCACTAATTCAATGCAATATGTTGTATGATTGCAGCGGAGATCTATGAGATGAGCCCTTATGCTACATTTGCTATGGCTGCAACACCAGCCAGTCGAGAACTGAACACTGCTACTCTTGACTACACTGTACAGTTCAAAACATTCGGACATTCAGAAAATGACAGTGGCATTCACCAAGATCATATGCCTGCTGGGAGATCCAGCAAAAAACATTCACGCCATGTTGCCTCCTCTGATGGTATGAATATTTAAAGAATTCATACCTTTATCTTAACATTCAGTTCAATTAAATAACTGAACAGATTCTGTAAAAACGGAATTGTTACCAGTGCCTTTTTTCTATGAATAAAAGGCAGCAGGATTCATGTTCCATTTACTAAGAATATTAGATATATTGATTAGGACCTGTATTTTATTTTTAAAATTGGACCTTTCATGACTTCATTCTGTTATATACTGCCACGAAAAACATTGATTTTCACTGAAAATTAGTGTGCTTTGTTTATTTCAAAATACCTTCACTCTTAACTTCCTACATGCTTTCTGTTTTCTCTGTCATACCCGCAAAACAATTGCTGGGTATGAAGCATGCTGTCTTCTGAAATATTATGCATATATTCTGGCAGAAATTTACTGACATTTTGAAGGCATGTGCTGGCTACATCATTATGGCCAGGTAGTAAGATAAGCAAACAAACAAGAAGCAGTTTCCTCAAAATGGATGCAGTACCTTCCTCTGAAACATCATAAAATTCTGCCTGACTAGACAGTATTGCATCACAGAAAATAGTTACAATGGAAGCCCCCTGTACTGACACAGCTCAAGGTAAATATTGCCACAGTAAGAGATGTCCTTAATATAAAAATATGACATAGTCTGCATGATGGTGTCAGCAAGAAACAGGATCCTAAATTCCCTTTCTCATGACCTTAAAAATGTTGCATAGATTGATTTGATAAACAGCTTGAATTATTTTCAGGAACTGGAAATTCTAAATAAAATTATATCTTATGATATAGCAAAATATACATATTATGCAGAAATTAAGTTATAGGAAGCTTTCATTCTTATTAAGATGTGTATCCCAGAATGCAAGATATTAAGTCAACATTAATATAATTTTTTTGTCAAACACCTTTTGGTCTCTTAATAAATTTATAAACCTTATATAATTATTGGTATCTCCATAATTATACATAGAGTTGTAAAATGTACTGTAGATAAGGGAAAGGTAAAGTTGTCCTTGTGCTTAATTAATTAAGCATAATGCCATGAGGACGTATGGTGAGTGGAGGTATAGCTCCACCATTCTTGCCCATAACACTAGATATATTATAGAGTAATTATAAGCAGTTTCTCATTTATGTAAAAATAAATGTGACATGTGTATAGTGGTTGATCTGCCATGATTTACCTTTTGTAATTATTTATACACTGACATCTTCCACATGCTACTTAACAGGACCCATAGGATGCATAAAAGCTATTTACTTTTCCATCGGTCACCGGCCAGTTACATTAATGAATGTAGAAATATGAACTGTGATATTATTTTAGTTATTTCATTTTCTGTTTGTTGCAGGTGAGAGTGGTCGGCAAATGTCCCAGCAGGGGGCAAGCAGAATGAGGCATGGAGGCTCAAAACCTCACCACAGAGATAAGCAGCCTGCCACAGAAAGTGCGACTCACGGAGACTCGGAATCAGATACCAGCGGCAGTCCTTCAGCTGTTAGTAGTTACAGGGTTCCGATCAAACCTCCCGCTTCCAGAAGTCTCGGTGAGTAATTTGTATTGTGACATGTTGCTGTTGGACATCCATTTGTTTGTGATTCTTCTGAAAAGTTTGTATCTATCTGCTAAAATACATGGTGTCATATGCCAGAAGATTGTGATGATGGATAAATGCAGGAAAACATATTTTTTAGCAAAACAGGCAAATATTATAATAATGTATTTCATAATTGTAAGGGTAGTATGTATGTAATTTGATTGAAAGACACTTAAAAATGAATATTTAAACCAAGATGTGATGATGAGTTTGTGTTTCATAAACTATATCCACTGATATAAGCCAAAGTACTGGTACATATGGAAAGTATGTTTATTGCTTTCTTATTATGTTACTTACATGACTGATAGCCATAATGACTTTGCATTGTAGAGTTATATCGTTTGGACTCGAGCACTGAATCTAATGAGACATCACCTCTGTCAGAGCGGCATCGAACTCCACGTCACTACCCCTTGTCCAGCAGCCACAAAACAACCCCCACTGGCTCTGGGCCAGGACTGCATAGGGGGTTGCTGCCACCGCACGCCAGGTAGCCAAGGTTTGTTAAAAACTCCATCCCTAACAGCAGCATTTGTTCTTTGGTTGCGTTTCTGTTAACCCATTGTCAAAAGTGCTGGGAGAGCATGGTCGGTATAGCAACTGGCTATGGGCTGGATGGCTGAGGGGCCGGAATTTTGAGTCCTAACAGGGGAAACATCTTTCTCCCCTCTACATTGTCCAGAGCAATTCTGGGGCCTCCTCTGCCTCCTATCCAGTGGATATTGGGGGTCTTTCCTGAGGATAAAGCAGCAGTGACAAGAAGCTGACCACTCACCTCCAACTAGTGCAGGGGTCAAGAACATGTGGATCTATACATCCACTCTCCGTTTAGCTCGGGGATAACTCTACCCTTACCTTACTGTTGACCAACATCATGTCCATTTCATTGGCCACTCTGTCTCCAAGATATTTTTAAATTTGTGCTTAGGTCCTGATAATATTTTGTGTTTCTGTCAGCATATAATGGCTTTATGCATTTTCTGTGACTAAAAAAATGTATTTTATGTTTATTATTACCACTGACTTATAAGATTAGAAATTTTTATGTCTGATTAACTACCCATTCAATGTTGTAGCCTATATTACAAACCCTTGCTGTAATTTGACCAGTCAATTGTCACCTCCACAATCGAGGGAAGTCATCGAGCTTGCAAAAATGAAACTTACAGAATGAATTAGTTTGCATGAATGAATGTTCGCCCAATTCCAATTTGACCATCACTTTAATCAGAAACCTGATTGCTTTTGCGCACTTTGGAATTTAGTTGAATTTTTGTCAATGTCTTCATTCTAAAAATTATATTTATTACATTTCCAGTGTTTTTAAAGCACATTGTTGTTAAATAGTGATATATTTCTGGTAGAGTTATTTTCTGAATATTAGACCCAAGAGAGAATTTAGTAATGTGCTCCTTACTGGTTATGATCACATAACCCAACTCTGTAGAAAACTGATCTCCAAGATTCAACTGTTTGAGGTTTGACCACTTTTTAAGGAATGCAGCTTGGTTGATTCTATGGGCACTTCTCCACACTGAAGAAGATCAAAAATTGCTCACAAGATAAGTGCTGTAAAGGTATGCCAACTGCGTGGATGTGCTTCTGACTTGCTATATCTGACATGGAAAGCAGGCTTGACATGTAGAACAAGGCATTGCTCTCAGACAAAGGTTAGGAGGGTCTTTTTCTGCAAACAGGCAACTACTGTATTACTTTCTTGCAGATAGACTGTAAGATTCTTAGTTGTTTCAGATTCCAGACACACAAGTACGTGCAATATAATATCAGAGGAAGAGAATGGTGAGGCAGAGGTTAAAGAGAACAGTGGGAGGGATTAAAGAAGATGAAGAAAGAATGAGAAGTAAAGAACGAAATTATAAGGTAAAAGAAGGTTAAGAAGAATGTTATGAAGGGACATGTAGAGGAGAGAACATAAGAAGAAAAAGTAATATTAGTACAAGAAGATCAAAAAGGAGATGATAGAGGAGAAGAAGAAGACAAAGAAGGAAAGGAAGGTAAAAGGAGATGAAGGAAAAGAAAAGAAGAAGATGGAGGAAGGAGATTAAGAGACATAAAAGGCTGAAAATGAACATTGGAAGGGAGAATAAGATGATAAGTAGCAGGACCAAAGACAATATGAAGTAACACAAGAAAAAGAGGGTGAAAAGTATATCATATTACTAATGACAAGAGTTAGAATCACCAGTATTAAAAACATTTATTACTTTGCATCCTTATTTTTTTATGGAAACATAAGATTGTTGTTTTATCTTGTCAAAATCCTTAGCTGGCCATGTCTCCCACTTCCTCATCTGGAACAGAAACTGAGCCACTTTCCGAAACTTTGTGTTCTTTAATGTTCTTTAGAACACTGGATGATGGACAAAAACCCCAGTAATCCAGATTTCATCAAATGCTTTTTTTATTTGGCTACCTCTTTTTGCATAATTTAATTATTTATTGATGTTTTATTACTAACACAGATTACATTATATAACTGCTCAGCTACCACTGAGTTTCAGAGAATGACGTTGGTGTATGTGCCTGCAGTTCTGAATCTAGTTCTGCCGAGGATGAAGCGAGCTTCTCTAGTTATCGGCTGCAACCTCCGTCCGGCTTTTCTGACAGCCGCGAGCTGAGCGAAGCAGAATGTGACAGAGACAACGCAGTACACCTTAACAAGCTACTTGCAAGGTAAGATTTTCTCCATTTCATCATTAGCTGTTGTAGGACATGGTGACTGATTCTCAAACTTTGTTATGACACTGAATCAACTTTACAAGTTATGTAATGATGAATAAGATGGGAACACAGTTCTGATAGGTAAGTGTGTAAGGATGTGGGAGCCTCATCGTCTCACAACCCTAGGGACCTTCAGGGCCTGGTACAGGGGTAGCTTTACTTTTTACTTTTTTATTAAGTGTGTAAGGATGTGTCAAGAAGTGTTCTGTGTTCTCAACATTCTCCTCTGAAGACCAAGAATCATTAAAAAGGGTTATGAGGGAAGTTAACAGGTAACTTGGCCAAGATTCAAACCAGGTACCTCCCCTATACAAATTCAGAGTGTTGCAACTACACCAACTAGCTACATAACATGCAACATTCATATCTGGATTCATACTTGTCAAGTCAAGGTTTTACAAAGTGTCTCTCTTACAGCTTAGAGACTGAACTTTGTGATCCAAACAGTTCATTAATAACTGAATCTCAAAACCGATTCTGTCATTAAGTAATTTAAAGCTAAATGTTCAATTAAGCATCATGTCTTTAAGATTTATTGCGAATGGCAGTAGAGCTCCACACATTCTTAACCTCAGCACTAAACAGAGATGAGTGGTTAGCTTCATGATTTGGCCGGTTTACTCCGGGGTACCTGTTGGAAAGGCAGAGTGGGTCCCAGAGCTCATCTGGTAGCTGTGGAAAAGAGAAGAACCTCGTTTCTTGTGGGAATCAATCTGTTATTATGTAAAAATGTAAATCAGAATTATGGCTTATAACAGAATATTTCATATTTCAGTAAATGGAACGGAATGTCTGAAACAAATGGTGATGAAGAAAATAAATTCTTTTGTAATATGGTTCCCAGACAGATTCACCCAAATTCCATGACGCCATTTGGTGGCTGTCGTCTCCACTTCCAGTGATCATTCTGTTTGCCCAAATTCCTGTAGACTAGGCATAATATAATGACAGAAAGGATTGACTTGACTCAAAGAGCTGTTCCGATTTTATAGTGCTGCTTCGTATTGTGTTGGTAAGAAATGTAAAATTATCCTTGTGTTCAGACATGTCACAGTGTGAGGGGCGGGGGGTGTAGCTGCACCATTTTTGATGTCCACAGTAAATGGAGGTGAGTGGTCAGCATCATGCCCCTCCCACTTTTCTCCCACGAAATCACCCCTGGTACCCATTGCGTAGGAGGATGGGTGAACCTGAAAGCCGGTTTGGACACTACAGAGAATAGAAGAGTTTTGCCTCTGCTAGTAACGGGACCCCGGCTAGCCAGGCTGTAGTTGCTTCACTAACTGAGCTATCTCAGCACACCATGCTACATAGAATCGATAGAAATATATAAATTTTCAGTTACACAACCAATTTTCTTTCAGCTTGGTGACATAATATTTCAGCACATACATACTTTCATCATGCCATCTGATACGTGATTACATTTGGAAACTTCTGCATTATGGGGGAATATAGAACTTACAAGTATGTAACTTTTCCTAATAAATCCATTTGTGTCTAATGCTTATCAAGCATTAAATTTATCTATATATAATATTAAATTATTAAAAATTAATCAGATTAGCAGATAGTAATGACACATGTGGAAGATAATGAACATTGAGTACTGTCGGTGCATTTATTGGCTAAAGTTTTCACAATATTTCCCGCTTAGTTTTCTGTGGTTCTCAACTAGGAGTTTGTCTAATTTTCTGCTGGGTGTCTGTGTGTATAACATAGATATTGACTGTAATGTAGGTACTGGTGAAGTGCAGTATGGATAGGAAACGTGTATGTGGTGTAAGGAACGTGGAAGTGAACCAATAAGGGGAAGGAGTAGGAGGAGGAAGAGAATGTGACTAGAGCCATGTAGACTGTAAGAAAAAAAAAGCTCCAGAAAAAAGAGTGGGAAATTATCTGCTAGCCAACATTTTTCAGTCACCATTGGAAACTGTCGAACAGGTTGACTCAAGTGGTAACACTACAGACTTGCATTCAACAGGTGTCCACTCTGAATCCTGACTAGGATGCCACCTATCATGACTGAAGATTCATGGTTTTCCTTGGTCCTTCCAGACAAATTATAGAATATTAATTTAAATTGCCGATTGCAGTGGCCACGTGGTGTGAGGCATGAACTGTCTTTGCTCTCTTGGATGCTGGGATTGTAGGTTCGAATCCTACTAAAGGCATGGATGCCTGTGTTTGTGTTGTCTTGTGTGTAGGTAGCCTTGCAATGGGCTGCTCACTCATCCAAAGAGTCATACTGTCTGTGTAAAAAAGATTATGAAACTGAAGAAGAGGTCATGGCCATTAATTAATTAATGAAGCATTGAAAATGAAGTGACTCATGGTTATGTCCCTGTATTTGAGGTTAAAGTAAACAAGTGAAAGGGGTGAAACAGAGTTATTGACTATATGTTTCAGGTTTCAGCAACAGAAGGAACTTGAGCGCCTTCAGTTCACCATTCACGTGTGAGAAGTGACACTACGTGTACATTGTTCTCTGAGACTTAAATATGTGCTCCAAACAGCTTTCCATGTCTGTATGACAATTGTGTGATATATGTAAAGGTGAACCTAGATCCAGAACTGGTATTGTGACTCTCTGCTGTTATTTGCCTCAGGCGAATATATGCCTATGTGAAGTCGTAAGTGAATATTTGCAGCGGATAAAGAAAATGATTGAACATAATCAAGAATAATGTATCAAATAATGAATATATTGAAGAAATGATGACTTTTCCAGAATGACTCATTGAACAATATAAACATTTACAAAATTATATTGGATATAAACCATAATGTTTGTTTATCCTTCAGTGCAGTGATTTTAAACTTATTGATTCTGAATTAATGAAAGTTTATTATTAATAAAATTATTTATATTTATAACCAAAGCCTTCAGTTTCATTTCATTTAAGAACAGAGTGGCATATATCTTTGGTTAGGATGGTAATTCATGTTGCTACACAGAAGACCAATTTCAAACTAGGAGCAGAAAGCAGAGTTTACTGCTATTTTGTCAATGATGCCCCAGTTTCATTAATTATCTATTACAAGGTAAGTATCCATATACAGAGTGCCCCAGGAGGAGAGGTCAATATTCTGGGAGGTCATAGTATAGGTCATTCTTACACAAAAGTATCTATATACAGGTGTCCTATTCAGAACGGCTTCTGAGATTGAGCTATTTCACTGCACTGTACACTGTACAGATGAGCAACACGCCATGTCCTCACACGAGCTGCAAAGTGCACTGATGTTGATGGTGGAATTTTGGAAAATGTATTATGTACCAACTTTGTCACTTGAACAATGAATACCGGTAATAGAAAACCATTTGAAATAGGACACACACATATACAATTCTTTGCTTACAATAGCCAAAATTATGACTTCCCAGAATATTGACCTTTTTCCATGGGACACAGAGTGAGAGAGAAGGTATGTGTGTGTGTGTCACTGAATGAGTTTTGCAAACTGCAATGCAATATTTCTGTGCTGTCATTATAGTAACATCATAGTATAAGAAGTACTTTATTTCTGTACTTCAGTTTCTGGCATATGGTTAGCAAAGAGGGAAAAAAGTGACAGGTCAGATTCAAACATCCATTTAATTTTTAAGGACATAGAAGGCTGCACCATAGCCCAAGCGGTTAGTCACTGGCTTCCAACCGCGGTGGCCCAGGTTTGATCCCGGGTCTGGTCAAGTGGGATTTGTGGTGGACAAAGTGGCGCTGGGGTGGGCTTTCTCTGAGTACTTCGGTTTCCCCTGCCAATCTTCATTCCACCAATTGCTCCACAATCACCCTCGCCTATCATCTGTGGCTGGTACAATAGGCCAGAAGTGGCCTCAGTAGGAGGGACTTAGTCCCACCCCACTAGCAATAAAAAAGGGACATAGAAATTAACCTCACCTACACATGGACAGCTTGATTACAGTAAGATCTGAAGTTCTCGTGACATCAAATATCAAAATTATATTTTTCTAGTGTGTGACCCTTATAATTTTGTATAGATTGCTCAGAATAATGACTGAATTTTGGTATCAGCTTATTTCAAGTAGCTACAAATTTTCTTCATAAACTGATGGAACCCTTCCTTCAGTAGATTACAGTTATAGTAAAATATGGTATAAATTATATGCCAGATATTCTTGTATGTTAGAAGTGTATGAATTTCATTAATAAAATAAATGCAAATACTGTCCACTTCCTTTCCTTATAAGGTGAGATTTTCTCCATTGCTGTTTTGTAACTTCTTATTACTTAGAATTACCTTCATGTTGTGTTGCAATACAAGCTAAAAGCAAACCTGTTCTTTTAAAGCTTGAAATATCCACTTAATGCAATTTTCTTTGACAGTAGAAGGTAAGTTTACATTAATTGAAATTTTGGTCTGTTGAATTGTACACATTTGGGTGGCAGAGAACCTATTGCTGGCAAGCAATAGCATGGATGGCCATTTGGAATCATATGTTCCTCATTATCATTTGCTGCACTCCAAGGAACATAATTTGGCAGGTTCTTTCCTTGTCTCTCCTTCTCTCCATATTTACAGAAAGAGGTAATCAAATCCCACTCCTTCCAGTACTATCATAGAAATATAAATTTATATACAATCAACAAAACAACAACAAAATAAAGACTTCGTATCCGAGTATCAGCATCACCGAAGAGGTATAATGCACATTTAAAGGACTGAAAACCTGGACGCTATAATGTGCAATCACACGGTGGGCGCGGAACAAAATGTCAAATGCTAGTATTCTGCGTCCAATTGCGCGAAGAAAAATGACGACGGAAGCCGGCAAAGAGCTTAGTTCGAAAGATGTGTCACTTTCAAGACAGACTAATACTTGGATATAAATTCAACATTTTTCTTCGAAGAATGGATTTACGGTATATGGTAACAAAATGGAAATTTTGTATCCGGGTATGAGCATCATCCAAGGGGTATAATGAATGTTTTAAGTTTCAAATTCTGGACGCTACAACGTCCAGTCGTTCTCTGGGGGAGGAACAAAATGGCGAACAGGGAGATGAACCTGGGATAGGAGAAAGGGAAACACGGAAACTACTGCCTCTGTGTGTGGATGTAGATTCTACACATGGATCTCGACCAATCAGAGAGCTTACACAAACTAATTTGCATTCCCTCAATTATATGCGGTTATGGTGTGTCGTCATATGCAAATTGGTAAGTAGGAATTTTCATTTGATGTGGTTGTGAAACGGAAGTAGACATTTGCGAACGAAGTTACGTCACCATGTTAAACATATTACTTGTGTATATGAATGTTATGCTTACTACCACAAATGAAATTAGAAATATATAGAATTCTTTCAAGCCCAAGATTCGTGAGGTTATGATGAACTGTGGGCTAACGATATTTGTTTTATCATATGTTCTGCAACTTTTGGTTTAGCCCAAAGATTGTCTGTAGAATATGAAGGAGTTCTGAGAGTACCGTGATGGTGTTATAATTTTTGTATTGCTTCATACAGTCTAAACATGAGAACAAAAACATGTTCTGCTTCTGGCTGCTTATTATCCAGCAAGCAAGGAATTAGATTCAACGCTTGAAACACAAGTATTGCATCGTCTGAAAAGTTTTTATTCCTCCAACAAGTTAAATTTTTTAGAATTACGTTCACGATAAGTTTTGACTTTCTTCTTTATTAATAAAATAAATGTGGAAAGAAATACGTTGATATATATATATGTTTATAGTACATTGCTTTCATATTTAAATTGGTACGTAATGCATTTTCTCACTGATAAACGATGTATCTGGCAGTGAATGAATGAGGCGGCGGCCACGAGATGGCAGTAGTCAACCTTGCTTCAGAAATGACGCGAGGGGCCAGGAAAATGCCTGCCGAATATCAGGATAGTAGGATATCGTAAGAGGTGTTTGGGTGTTCGAATTTATTTTGGTACAGAAGTTTTTCATACTTGCAGCAAGTAACCGAAATTGAATTCGAAGTGATAATAGTGATTTTATTCGCACTCGTTCAATGAATGTCGTCAATAAAAAAGAATATCTTACCAAGAACGAATGCATATGAAGCCTAAATAAGAATTACAAACGCACTAACTACGATATACGCAGTAATTAACTCACAATCAATTTTATTCTACTTAAGCAATCCGGGTTAATGAGATCGAAGTTTAAAGTAATCTCTCTCTGCTAACTGAAAAGGTGATTCAAAAGAATTTCCGTGTAATAATCGTGATACTTATTACACCAACGCTGTGAGCTTAATTCTTTTCTTTTTCTTAACTCTCTTATGATTCTGATTATTGCTGTTAATTCAGAATTACGTACCAGTGTGCGCTACTAAGGGAGGGTTGGGAGCAGGAAACGAAGGAAAAGTCATAATACCGACGTTATTCTCACTCCTTCACTGAATAGTGACAATAAAACAAGTTTACCATAATATCAAGAACGAAAGAATATGAAGCCTAAATAAAAATTACAAACCCACCAAGAACGATATATCCACTAATTAACTTACAAACCATTTAATCGTTCTTAAACCATTCACGTTACTGAGATCGGTCTTAAATTCATCTCGGTGTCCTAGGTAAAAATTTGAATTCAAACGCATTTTCCTGTAATCATCGTGATATTTATTACACAAGTGTTATGAGGTTAATTCTCTAACTCTGCTACTCTTTTGATTCTTCTAATTGCTGTTATTTCACGACTACCTACCAGAGTACACTAGTATCGAGCTTTGGGGAGCTAGATGTTGCTAATAGTTACGCCCTCTACCACCAAATAGCACTACATTACAATTCCGGTAGGTGGGGTGATACATACCGTCTCACCTTAAGAGAGGATTGTGAATTTCAAAGCTCAGGTAGTAGACCGGAAGAGAATAATTGTTGCAATATTAGGAGAGTTAACGTTGCGAATATATTCAGAGACTTATACAGTGAGACGATTCACAATACCTAATGAAATGATCGCTTGAAGCACAAGTATTGCATCGTCTAGATAACTTATTTCCCACTAACAATTTACATTTTTTAGAATTAAGTTCACGATAAGTTCTGGCTTCCGTTTTTTATTAACAAAATAAATGTGGAATCAGTTGCATTCAGATGTATATTTCTATCGTATATTTCTTTCATATTTAATATTGGTACGTAAAGCATTTTCTCACTGCTAAATGTTGAATCTGGTGGTGAATGACACGGCGGCCACGAAATGGCAGTACTCAACCTTGCTTCAGAAATGACGAGAGGGACCAGGAAAATGTCTGTCCTGTACCAGGATAATAGGATATCGTAGGAGGTATTTGGGTGCTCCAATTGATTTTGGTTC